CAGTGTATATCATATCACGTAACTCAACAGGAAACAAAGCAATTGATAGTCATTCACATCCCTGAAAATAACATGGCATCGCAACTGCATTCACTGTCATTCATAAGGGAAGGATATCTTGTACATGGAGAAGAGAAAGGTATAGCTGGACTAGATGACACTAAACACTACATGCCTATATAAATTAGAGTGTTTATAGAACATTCAAGCTAAACGCCACTATATATTTTGGATATGGAAGCTAACCCAAAATTTTGCACCTTTCATTCATTTTGAACAATATATTTTTCAGTTATATTTCAGTATTTGCTCACTAGCAAATTTTGGTGTGTGCAGTTTTAGCAAACAGATGGAGTCTACAATACAAAATGTCACAGGCAAAAGTATAATTTGACTGAGGGTATGCATAGAACATAGAAGAAACCCTAATTTTGTGCAAAATTAAAGCCTGAGTTTCATTTCCTCGTGTAGTTTCAACAAAATAATGTTATTATCTGAACTGTTTTAGCGTAAAGCAGAAGCTGAAAACACATTGGCTAGTGAAGTGAATCAAAATACAGGATTTCCTGTTATACACTCTGGCTCAGGCTGCAGATGACAGACAGCAGGATTTCAGCCATGAGAGAAAGAGTGTGAGAATTCTGTCTTCATCTTTGACATTGGATTTTATAACATATCTGTAGCTAGTAAAAACTATTTTGCTTTCCCCCTACTTTTTGCTGTGGATATTTCCTTCTTGAAGAATGGAAGTTTAAATGAGGTAAGGCTTATTTCTGCTGCACATTTCCTTTTGTAAATTCAAGCCATAACAATCTTGAGTAATACCATTATATGCTTTTTCCAAGAGAAATGTTCAAGCAAATGCATGCACTATCCGCAGCAGCCTTTGATAGAAGAGCAATTTGTTGTATTATTTGGGTTGAGTGGGTAAGTAGAAAGCAATGCACTCTGATAAAAAGATTGTATGAGAAAATAGAAAATACTGTGTTGCTCAATAGGCTATTAGAATAGATCATTCTGTTTCATTTCACATATTCTCTTTCTGTTGCATTTGTTAAAAAGCTAATGATAATACTATTTAAACAAAAGCTGTAGAACGCCTTGTCCACTTAAATCAGAAACTTTAGTTCTGATTTCGTTTCAAATCATTAAGTAAATTTTTATTACAAAGATGCACTTCCCCATCCTCACCCAATGTGACTATAATTCTAGTGAGCGACCTTGGCCATAAAGTTCAGACTCAGGTTTGGAACTGTGTTTTGCCGTAGTTTGGGGTTGTTTAGATCTGGAATTAGGGCTATCTTTCTATAATTCATAAATAAATAATACATATAATTTAAAGACTACAGTCCTAACGTTTCTTCAATTTTGGAAATTCTAAGCACAATACCACAGCAATGTAGAACTGGGTGGAGTGCACAGTGACTCAGAATAATGATTATACCAGCAATTTCCACTGATGACTACTGCAATGAAGACCACATAAATACATAGAAGAAAGTTAGATTGCTGATATATAAATGCTTCTTTGAAATTATGTGTATTTTAATTATTGGCTTTACATGGTAATTGAGCACTCTGTGTAGCCTATGTTGCTAATTGAGCACTCTGTGTAGCCTATATTGTCATGACCATAGGTCCACATCCTCCCTCCCCATTCCTTGTAACGATGCCCATTTTTTGTTTCCAGTCTTTAGTTACACTGTAAACCATTCACAACAGGAGCCAATTGATTGTATGCTTTTAAATAGCATCTAATACAATGGTACTTTGAACCTGCTTGAGATCTCTAGGTGCTGCTGCAAAAACTATATCAAAATGGCAAATATATTTAGATGGTTAAATGCTACAATACATTAATATTTTTTCTAAGGTCTTAGAAAATATCACTAGGTTATAACATCACTGTCTTTACCCAGATGTAAATGAGGGCAACATTTAGAAAGACCTGAAGTGACCAGAGGCAGAAAGACAAGAGAGAAAATTCACCAGATGCTCAGCTTTGAAAATACATACACACACATACATACCAGTAAAATACTCCCTGAAACGGAATGGATTTAATCCAAGTTCAGAGCAGCCTGGCAGTAGATGCTAGCTACATTCATTCCATATGTGTGTTAAAACCAATAGACTACTAAACGAAAAACAAGTACAAACCAGACAGAGTAGAACCTATGTTTCTAAGATAGTAGATTCTGTTCAGCATAATATCCTTGTTTCTCTACTCTGTAGGAGGAAAACATCCTGTTTTTAAAGTCTTGAGGCCAAAACAACTAAGCTGCATTTCATTAGCTCCTGGCTAGTTCTTCAGCTGCTTCTAAGGTCTTGCTGCAAAATTTATCCAAGCCTGATGTCACTGGTTAGCTTGGCAGGGCCTCTTTATGAGGACAATGATGGAGGTGAGGTGTATTTGGGTTTGGGGCCTTTCCAGGAGGCACCAGAAAGTCTGTACATCCCTTCGTAGAAAGCCACAAGCCAAAATAACATTCAGGAATGGGGAACCTTTTTTTGGGTTGGGGGACACTGACACCCAGAAAAATCAGTCAGGGGCCACACAGAAGTGGGAAGCACACACCAGAGCCTGGGGGGGAAGGCAAGCTTAGTAGATTTTGTGTGCTCCAGGCCCACGGGAGGTTGATGGGGGGGCTGATGCACCAGTGCGGGCTCCCCAATGCTGGGTGGACCCTGAGCCTTGGGAGCCAGATCTAGTCCCTGAGCCTTAGGCTCCCTATCCCTGCTATAGGACATCATGCTAGCCTCAAAGGGAATGAGGCCTTCAAAAATGTAAAGTTAGATACTTCCCCATGAACTCCCTAAGATTCCCCCCCTCACTTCATATTGTTTCAGAAATTCAGGTAACTCAATACATTAATTGAGTCTTCAGGCAGCCTTGGTGTCTGGCATGAGATGGGGTTAATTATTTCATCCATACTGAACTCTGTCTTGGGAAGAACACTACCCAGGAAGACACCACATTTCATGTGGCCACCAGGGAGTTGGGAATAGTGGAAATTACTAAAGAGGACAGTAGAGCCCTAGAACTTATGGGGCGTAAGGATGAAAACACAAGAAGAACCAGACCTAAGGCCTCTTACAAGTTGTTATTTTTTCTGGGCTCAGAATTACAGGGCCTTACAGGTTCAAGCCTCATGATTCTGTTTAATCAGGAGAGGAGAATGAAGTGTCTTAGCATAGGCAAAATGATAAATGGCACTCTGAGCCAAATTTTCACATTTCACTGTATTTTGCTTTGGAAATGCGATGGGGAGCCTTTTGGTTCTAGTTTCCTGGTTCAGATCTGGATAGTGGCAGGAAAAGATGCTAGCATTTTATGAATGTTCATTGCTCTGTTTGGAATAAGGTTTAATTTAGTGAATTTATCAATTTTAACGTAAAAAAATTGTGTCCAGTGACACCTGTACCCAGTTAAAGATCAAAATGTGTTCCCCGTACAAAACCCACTAAGTAAACTCCACACATTCTTAAGGGCAAGGCTGAGAAAAGTAATGGACATGCCAGATCACGGAACATGGGCTATACTGGACAATTTGGGGAAGTGAATTCCAGAGTTAAGGGCCTCCCCTGACTATGCTCTGACAGCAGTCCCTGAATGGTTACATCCTGAGAGTTTACTTGAGTGCCCCAGCTGATCCCATCTTCCTTCAGGACAATGCCATTCGGTTCCCTCTTCCAGACTCATGGTGTGCCCCATTCACCTCTCTTGGCGATGAGCACTCCTGAAAGCACAGAGCAAGATGAATATGGCTGCAGAGGGGACTGGTGAGATGGGCTAGTAAGCTTGCTAACAGCAAATAGCTCCAGTGCTCTGAGACCACAAACAGCAGTAGTGCCAAGCATAAGGGGCCATTACCTTCTATGGTGTCACTTCCCTCATAGCTACCGCCAGCTCAGGCCCTTTGGCAGGATTTATGAGGAATAAAAGTAGTAGATGGTCTAGAGCATAGTGCAGACAAGCACATCCAGGCCAGCTTAAGCCATTTGCCCCACTGCTCTTTCTCCAACCGCTGGTGGCAGCACTCACCCCTTAATGGTCATCTCTCTCTCAGGAGGAGGTTCTACTGAGGATTTTCAGCATCGATTATTTTGTTCGTTTCAGGACCATTCACATTAAGTTCCACATAGCTTTATGAAGGATGTCTGGTGTGTCCATTTAAAAATATACATTTTTTATTTTGAAAACAAAAGCAGGATAGCCCACACTAATATTTACTTTGTCAAAGTCAATGGTCAAAATGTGATCTATTTTTCATATATGAGCGTTTTGTATATTTATCTTTCAATTCTGAACATATGTTAGAGCATTTTTTGAAAGAATGCCTGTAAAAGAGAGAGAGCGTAAACTCTTGAAAATTTGAAAGAGGAATAAGTAAGAACTTTTTAAAAAATGACAAGTACATTAATAGGTTTTTTTTTGGCTCTGTTTTAATCCTGTTTGGCCCTGTTGTCATAGCTCCAGACAGCAGAATACTGGCACCTTTGCTAAATATAGTCAGCATTACTTCCTTCTAAATAAATTGGTCACTCTTAGAAACATACTAGTGTTGCTTCAGATTAAGGTCCCTTTTTACATTTCCAGTAATATCTGAATTTGCCTGTTCTTATTCTAAGGAATCAAAAAAATTCTGCAGAGAATGGACTAAAGTTACTCTGGATTTAATTCTCAAAAGTGCTAAATACTCACAATTCTAGTTGAAAATAATGAAAGCTGTAGATATTCAGAACTTCTGAAAAAATAAGGCCCTTAATCACCCATGGTATGTCTACACAGCAAAGATATTTCGAAATAACAGCCTTTATTTCCAAATAACTTTTCTAGTGTCTACACAGCCAAACCGCTATTTCGAAATAAATTCGAAATAGTGGAGCGCTTATTTCGAATTTGGTAAACCTCATTCTATGAGGAACAACACCAAATTCAAAATAGCTATTTCAAAATAAGTGCTGTATAGACACTTATTTTGAAATAGGGGGCCTCCAGCCTTCCCAGGGTGCCCTGGTGGCCACTCCAGCCTCAACCAAGAACACTTCTCTCCCTCCCTCCATTCCCAGAGCCCTGAAAGGGGTAGACTCTGGCCATAGTGCCTGTGCCAGCTCCAAGCCTGCCAGCACAGAGCCAGCAGTCACTGCCCCTGACCCAGTGGCCCCAAAACATGAGCCAGCAAGCCACTGGCAGCCAGCTCTCCACTGCTCCCCAGGAGCCATCTACCAGCTCCCAGAAGCCTGCCAGAGACCGGAGAAGGCGGGAACCTTCCTTGTCCAGAGAAGAGATCATGGACCATATTCAGGTTTGAGGAGGATGCTCCCAATGTCCATATCCGCACTAGATGGAGGAACGCGGCCGTCTATGGCAGAATAGCTGCTAGCTTGGCCACCAAAGGCCACATGAGAACCCAGGAGCAGGTTTGCATGACATTCAAGTTGGTCCGGCAAGACCCCCAACCCTGAGCTTCCCCTTCCCCTTCTTTCCCTTGCTTCCCCCTTCCAGCTCCCTCTTCCCAGGTTTCCCCCTCCCCTCTCCCACCCTCTCTTCTCCTCTCTCCTGCCTCCTTTCCCAAGACTCACCAGAGTTTCATTCCCTCCCCTCAAGTTTTGTTAAATAAATAGTTTGTGTTCATGAAAATACATGTATTTTATTTTACATCAGGAAGGGGGGTTAGGGAGGAGTAAGTGAAAGGATGTGAGGGAGGAATGAGGCACAAGCCCCCAACGGGGCAGACCAGAGGGGCCCTTAGTGCTCCTCAGGGTGGAAGCTCTCCCACAGGGCTTTCTGGATACTGTTAGCCCCCCGATGGACCTTCAGTATGGCAGCCTACAGAAAGTGCAGCCAGGCTCACAGCAATGCGTCCAAGAGAAGCACCAGAATGCCCAGAGGCCGCTCTGGCTCCATGCTGCAGAGTGCTGTGGTGTCTCAAGTGAGGGCAACCAGAGCATGCAGAGACAAAACACTTTGCTGTCCCTCATCAAGGTAAACAAGCAAGCAGGGAAACCTCGTGTGGGGGGGGGGGGGGGTCCCTTTAAGCACAGACCTCAGCTAGCCCCACACAGTAAGTCCTGACTTGGTGCCCTGCAGGAACTGGTTCCGGCCAGCTTGGACGCACTATTTCGAAACAGCAAAATGCTATTTTGAAATGCATTTTGTGTGTAGACGCGTTATTTCAAAATAAGCTATTTTGAAATAACTATTTCAAAATAAGATATTTTGAAATAACACTGTAGTGTAGACATACCCCCAGGGGAAAAAAGCATTTAAAAAGCATTTTAAACGTCTTGCATTTGGGGTGGACATTAAAGATAATCTAAGCATGGTCCAAAAACCGAAACAAAAATCTTGCTTCAGTTTTTAATAAGGGTAATGAGAAACTTAGTGACAGGGAAGATAATGGAAGAAAGGATGTGGAAGTAGAAATTACCACATCTTAGGCGGAAGTAAAAATCAAACATCTGAATGGGATCAAACTGAGGGGGGTACAGAATCTCCATTCAAGAATATTAAAGAAACTGACACATGCAATTGCAAGCCCAATAGAAAGGATTTTAATAGATCTGCAGACTTAGGTATCAGACCCTATAATTGTAAAATTGCTAATAAAATGCATAATTTTAAGAAAGAGAACAAAGAGACTTAGAAAACCATTAGTCTGGCCTCATTTGTATGCATGGGCTTGGAACAAATTTTGAAAGAGAAAGTATTTAATGACAGAGGTATTTGATAATTGGAATAATACACAACATGGTTTTCTGAAAGGTAAATCATGCCAGAGTAACCTTGATATATTTTTTGAGTGGATAATTGGTATTTTAGGCAAAAGAAATGCAGTGGATCTAGGCTGTCTGGTTTTCAGTAAGCCATTTCATACAGTTCCATACAGAAAATTATTAGTGTCATTGGAGAAGATGGGAATTAATATAACTGAAAGGTGAATAATGAACTGGTTAAGAGACTACAACAGGTCATATGAAAAAATGAATTATCAGACTTTAAGGACTGTAAGGGCAGACTGCCAGACTTTAAGGGCAGAGCGGGGGAGGAGGGGGAACACCGAGTGGAGGGAAAGGCCAGGGGACTAAAGAAGCAGCTGTCTTGGGGCCTAGATATTTAAAATGGCCTGGGGCTCCCAGCTGCTAACCTAGTTGAAACAGTGGCCAAAGGCCCTGAGTCCTTTAAATTATCACTGGAACCCCAGGCAATACAGGCTGGGCAGTGCTGACAGGTTGGCTGTGCCCAGCTCCACATTTTCCACCCAACCTTTCTCCCCCGTTCCAGTGGACCAGAGCCTCTGTATTGATAAGCCATGGGAGTTACTTTCACTCATGTTTAAGAAAGATTAATTCAGATTTGAACAGATTCTTGGATGATTAGAGGAACAGAAAATCTAACTTGTAAGAGAAGGTCCAAGCAGCTTGTCTTCATTAGTCTAACCAAACACAGACAGAGGAGATAGATGATTGGTCTCCATAAATGATAAATAACAGGGAGGAAGAAGAGTGATTTAAATTTAGGACCCATGTCAACACAAGAACAAACGGATATAAAACGGCTATCAGTAAGCTTAGGCATGAAATTTGACAATGGTTTCTAATGATCAGAACAGCCTCGAAATGGGAATAGTAAGGGCAAAAAACCTAACTGGCTTCAGACTGCACTTGATGAGTTTATGGAGGGATGGAGCGATGGGACTGCCTACAATTGTGTGTAGCCAATCTACAACAGTGGCAAAAATTTCCAGTAGCTGGAGATGGGGCACTAGATGGGGAGGGCCTTGATATATTACAGATATTTTTCTTCCAGGTGTCTGGAGGCTGAGTCTTGTCCATATTCTTAGGGCCTAACAGAGCACCATATTTAGGGTTATGAAGGAGTTCTTCCTCAGCTCATATTGGCAGAAACCTTGATTTTTTTCATCTTGCTCTGCAGCATGGGGCACAGGCTGCCTGCTGGTTTAAATGCAATGTAAATGGTGGAGTCTCTGTAAGTTGAAGTCCTTGAATCTTGATCTGAGGGCTTCAGTAACTCAGCCAAAGGTTTTGGGCAATGTTCCCTTTTTTCCATCCTTGCATGGATTCTTTCCATCTATACGTGGGAAAACATTTTTATGTGTGCTGAAGCATGTGTAAATGTTTGCCATCAATAAGAAAAAAATAACCCTAGCTGTGCATGCTTTGCTAATCAGCTGGGTGGCACTTGAATCTCTCCTGAGAGGCTGCACAAGTACACAGCTTACAGGAAACACCGGTTATAGGTCTATTTCAGAGGTGAGTGGGTGAGGTTCTGTGGCCTGCAAGGTGCAGAAATTCAGCCTAGATTATCACGATGGTTCACAAAACCTCCAGATAAATTTGCCTATCTCTGTGTAAAAGTTTTACACAGTGAAAGCTCATTAGATAACTCCCCTTTATTTATGAAAGAGGGAAAAGCACAATGATTGTTCTGTCAGGTACCAATTATTTATATTGGCCCTGATAGTAAATACAAGTGTTTTTATGAAGTACAAACAGTAGTATTTAAGTGACTGCAAGTGAAAACAGACAGATCAAAGTAAGTTACTAAATTAAAATGAAAAGAAAGTGCATACAGGTTGAATCCACTTGGTCTGGCACCCTCAGGACGCAATGGTTCTCGAACAAGGGGATTTGCCTGATCTGGGGAGGCACCCTGATATTGACCTCCTAGCCCACTGTCCCCTCACTCCTGCTGTCAGCTTCTGGCTGCCACCAGCCCAGCTGGGGCTTCCTGGGGTTGGAGCTGCCCTGTTGTCACTGAGGCTGGAGCTCCCCACTGTGCCCGCTCTGCCACAGGGCTCCTGGCTGAGTTTCCGACCCCCCTGCTGTGCTCCCAGTCCCACTGCCAGACCTCCCTTTCCCTGGACTCTGTGGTCCAGGAACATCCATGGTCCTGCCATATCCATGGTGGAGAGGTACAACCTGTAGCTAGTTCTAATTTACTAAGAAACTTTGCAATCAGATTCTTAACCTAAAGAGTTGCTCTTATTTCAGGCATAATCTTCAAATCAGAGACTCTTCTACTCTGACTTGCATCTCCAGCCCTCTTTGCATCCTTTCTGAATTGTGCCAGGCTAGCCAAAGACAAAGGGTTGATAGCTTCACATTACTGAAATAAACCTTCCTTAGGGTGGGAATCTACATCCCCCCTTCCATGGAAAAATACCAGGGTCAAAGTGGAATCACTGTACCAGGGGTATGATCATATGTTTTCCTAGGACCAACCACCTTCTGGACTTAGAGGACAAACAAGGCAGTTTACAAGTTGTTTAGTTGATCACCAAGTTGTTAAGGCTTCGGGAGGGGGGTGGGGAGAGAGGCACCAATAAGGGCTCTCATTAGCACATTTAAAACTATAAACTATTTCCTACTTCATATTTCTATCTTCACATACAAGAATGATATGTGCACAAAAATAGGATATACAGATCCAGCAGATTGTAATGTTAAAATTGATAGCTTACATGAAGTATTTTGTCCATAGCATCTCCAAGTTATGAATATTTATATTAATAAGCCAATTTTCATAAAGCATGGGGGAACTATCACAAACATTAATGCATAGTTTTTGCCTTTACTGTTTTTACTCTCCACAGAAATCCTTCTTCCATCCCACCATGTCCTAAATGAGCGCACAGATACATTCAAGATGTCAAGCAACAGCTCTTCAGGAAATTGCACTGATCCTGATATGGGATTTCAGACCTCCCTGTATGCAACCACTTACATCATAATATTCATACCTGGTCTTCTAGCAAACAGTGCTGCATTATGGGTTTTATGTCGCTTCATCAGTAAGAAAAACAAAGCTATTATTTTTATGATTAATTTGTCTGTAGCTGATCTTGCTCATGTGCTCTCGTTACCTCTTCGAGTGTATTATTATATAAACCACGTGTGGCCTTTTGGGAGTTTGCTTTGCCAGTTCTGTTTCTACCTGAAGTATCTCAATATGTATACAAGCATCTGTTTCCTTACCTGCATAAGCATTCAAAGGTACCTTTTCCTCCTCTATCCTTTCAAAGCCAAAAACTGGAAGAGTAGGTATGACATTGCCATTAGTGCTGCTGTATGGATCTTTGTTGGAGCTGCTTGCTCACCTGTTCTAATTCTGAGAAGTTCTACCCCATCCAACAATACAATTACCTGCTTTGCAGATCTTAAAATAAAGCAAATGACTATGGCAACTTCTATTACTTTAGTAACAGTGGCTGAATTATCAGGGTTTGTGATTCCCTTAGTTATTATTGCATATTGCACTTGGAAAATGAGACAATCTCTACAAGAATCTGAAGTGCCCTTGCAACAGAGAAATGAAAAAGAGAAAGCTTTACGGATGATCCTGATGTGTGCAGCTGTATTCTTCATATGTTTCACACCATATCATATAAACTTTCCTTTATTTATGATGGTGAAACAGAATGTTATTACAAACTGCTCCATACTCAGAAGTACACTTCATTTTCATCCAGTTTCTTTATGTCTAGCCAGCTTGAACTGTTGTCTGGATCCAATTCTTTACTACTTTATGACATCAGAGTTCCAGAAAAAATTATTGCAATGCAGTGACTTTGCCCTCCGGAGTTGCCTCATGGACAAAGAGAGTGACTCATCTTTCCAGGACCACAGCGATGATTTTGAAACACAGAAACACTTCACACATTTTAAATGTTGGTCTGTTCGAAGGTTCTGGCCAAATAAATACATGGAAGCTCCTCCAACTGAGCCAGAGAGACTTTCATTACAGTATCCCTTTTGAAGCTCAAGGCACTTTGCTCGACACAGATGCACTCCATGGAGATCGCATTAAGGCCAGACATATGTACTGAATAACATCTCTGACTTAAAACATTCAACACAGCGTGTGGGGGGGGGGGGGGGTCCCTTTAAGCACAGACCTCAGCTAGCCCCACACAGTAAGTCCTGACTTGGTGCCCTGCAGGAACTGGTTCCGGCCAGCTTGGACGCACTATTTCGAAACAGCAAAATGCTATTTTGAAATGCATTTTGTGTGTAGACGCGTTATTTCAAAATAAGCTATTTTGAAATAACTATTTCAAAATAAGATATTTTGAAATAACACTGTAGTGTAGACATACCCCCAGGGGAAAAAAGCATTTAAAAAGCATTTTAAACGTCTTGCATTTGGGGTGGACATTAAAGATAATCTAAGCATGGTCCAAAAACCGAAACAAAAATCTTGCTTCAGTTTTTAATAAGGGTAATGAGAAACTTAGTGACAGGGAAGATAATGGAAGAAAGGATGTGGAAGTAGAAATTACCACATCTTAGGCGGAAGTAAAAATCAAACATCTGAATGGGATCAAACTGAGGGGGGTACAGAATCTCCATTCAAGAATATTAAAGAAACTGACACATGCAATTGCAAGCCCAATAGAAAGGATTTTAATAGATCTGCAGACTTAGGTATCAGACCCTATAATTGTAAAATTGCTAATAAAATGCATAATTTTAAGAAAGAGAACAAAGAGACTTAGAAAACCATTAGTCTGGCCTCATTTGTATGCATGGGCTTGGAACAAATTTTGAAAGAGAAAGTATTTAATGACAGAGGTATTTGATAATTGGAATAATACACAACATGGTTTTCTGAAAGGTAAATCATGCCAGAGTAACCTTGATATATTTTTTGAGTGGATAATTGGTATTTTAGGCAAAAGAAATGCAGTGGATCTAGGCTGTCTGGTTTTCAGTAAGCCATTTCATACAGTTCCATACAGAAAATTATTAGTGTCATTGGAGAAGATGGGAATTAATATAACTGAAAGGTGAATAATGAACTGGTTAAGAGACTACAACAGGTCATATGAAAAAATGAATTATCAGACTTTAAGGACTGTAAGGGCAGACTGCCAGACTTTAAGGGCAGAGCGGGGGAGGAGGGGGAACACCGAGTGGAGGGAAAGGCCAGGGGACTAAAGAAGCAGCTGTCTTGGGGCCTAGATATTTAAAATGGCCTGGGGCTCCCAGCTGCTAACCTAGTTGAAACAGTGGCCAAAGGCCCTGAGTCCTTTAAATTATCACTGGAACCCCAGGCAATACAGGCTGGGCAGTGCTGACAGGTTGGCTGTGCCCAGCTCCACATTTTCCACCCAACCTTTCTCCCCCGTTCCAGTGGACCAGAGCCTCTGTATTGATAAGCCATGGGAGTTACTTTCACTCATGTTTAAGAAAGATTAATTCAGATTTGAACAGATTCTTGGATGATTAGAGGAACAGAAAATCTAACTTGTAAGAGAAGGTCCAAGCAGCTTGTCTTCATTAGTCTAACCAAACACAGACAGAGGAGATAGATGATTGGTCTCCATAAATGATAAATAACAGGGAGGAAGAAGAGTGATTTAAATTTAGGACCCATGTCAACACAAGAACAAACGGATATAAAACGGCTATCAGTAAGCTTAGGCATGAAATTTGACAATGGTTTCTAATGATCAGAACAGCCTCGAAATGGGAATAGTAAGGGCAAAAAACCTAACTGGCTTCAGACTGCACTTGATGAGTTTATGGAGGGATGGAGCGATGGGACTGCCTACAATTGTGTGTAGCCAATCTACAACAGTGGCAAAAATTTCCAGTAGCTGGAGATGGGGCACTAGATGGGGAGGGCCTTGATATATTACAGATATTTTTCTTCCAGGTGTCTGGAGGCTGAGTCTTGTCCATATTCTTAGGGCCTAACAGAGCACCATATTTAGGGTTATGAAGGAGTTCTTCCTCAGCTCATATTGGCAGAAACCTTGATTTTTTTCATCTTGCTCTGCAGCATGGGGCACAGGCTGCCTGCTGGTTTAAATGCAATGTAAATGGTGGAGTCTCTGTAAGTTGAAGTCCTTGAATCTTGATCTGAGGGCTTCAGTAACTCAGCCAAAGGTTTTGGGCAATGTTCCCTTTTTTCCATCCTTGCATGGATTCTTTCCATCTATACGTGGGAAAACATTTTTATGTGTGCTGAAGCATGTGTAAATGTTTGCCATCAATAAGAAAAAAATAACCCTAGCTGTGCATGCTTTGCTAATCAGCTGGGTGGCACTTGAATCTCTCCTGAGAGGCTGCACAAGTACACAGCTTACAGGAAACACCGGTTATAGGTCTATTTCAGAGGTGAGTGGGTGAGGTTCTGTGGCCTGCAAGGTGCAGAAATTCAGCCTAGATTATCACGATGGTTCACAAAACCTCCAGATAAATTTGCCTATCTCTGTGTAAAAGTTTTACACAGTGAAAGCTCATTAGATAACTCCCCTTTATTTATGAAAGAGGGAAAAGCACAATGATTGTTCTGTCAGGTACCAATTATTTATATTGGCCCTGATAGTAAATACAAGTGTTTTTATGAAGTACAAACAGTAGTATTTAAGTGACTGCAAGTGAAAACAGACAGATCAAAGTAAGTTACTAAATTAAAATGAAAAGAAAGTGCATACAGGTTGAATCCACTTGGTCTGGCACCCTCAGGACGCAATGGTTCTCGAACAAGGGGATTTGCCTGATCTGGGGAGGCACCCTGATATTGACCTCCTAGCCCACTGTCCCCTCACTCCTGCTGTCAGCTTCTGGCTGCCACCAGCCCAGCTGGGGCTTCCTGGGGTTGGAGCTGCCCTGTTGTCACTGAGGCTGGAGCTCCCCACTGTGCCCGCTCTGCCACAGGGCTCCTGGCTGAGTTTCCGACCCCCCTGCTGTGCTCCCAGTCCCACTGCCAGACCTCCCTTTCCCTGGACTCTGTGGTCCAGGAACATCCATGGTCCTGCCATATCCATGGTGGAGAGGTACAACCTGTAGCTAGTTCTAATTTACTAAGAAACTTTGCAATCAGATTCTTAACCTAAAGAGTTGCTCTTATTTCAGGCATAATCTTCAAATCAGAGACTCTTCTACTCTGACTTGCATCTCCAGCCCTCTTTGCATCCTTTCTGAATTGTGCCAGGCTAGCCAAAGACAAAGGGTTGATAGCTTCACATTACTGAAATAAACCTTCCTTAGGGTGGGAATCTACATCCCCCCTTCCATGGAAAAATACCAGGGTCAAAGTGGAATCACTGTACCAGGGGTATGATCATATGTTTTCCTAGGACCAACCACCTTCTGGACTTAGAGGACAAACAAGGCAGTTTACAAGTTGTTTAGTTGATCACCAAGTTGTTAAGGCTTCGGGAGGGGGGTGGGGAGAGAGGCACCAATAAGGGCTCTCATTAGCACATTTAAAACTATAAACTATTTCCTACTTCATATTTCTATCTTCACATACAAGAATGATATGTGCACAAAAATAGGATATACAGATCCAGCAGATTGTAATGTTAAAATTGATAGCTTACATGAAGTATTTTGTCCATAGCATCTCCAAGTTATGAATATTTATATTAATAAGCCAATTTTCATAAAGCATGGGGGAACTATCACAAACATTAATGCATAGTTTTTGCCTTTACTGTTTTTACTCTCCACAGAAATCCTTCTTCCATCCCACCATGTCCTAAATGAGCGCACAGATACATTCAAGATGTCAAGCAACAGCTCTTCAGGAAATTGCACTGATCCTGATATGGGATTTCAGACCTCCCTGTATGCAACCACTTACATCATAATATTCATACCTGGTCTTCTAGCAAACAGTGCTGCATTATGGGTTTTATGTCGCTTCATCAGTAAGAAAAACAAAGCTATTATTTTTATGATTAATTTGTCTGTAGCTGATCTTGCTCATGTGCTCTCGTTACCTCTTCGAGTGTATTATTATATAAACCACGTGTGGCCTTTTGGGAGTTTGCTTTGCCAGTTCTGTTTCTACCTGAAGTATCTCAATATGTATACAAGCATCTGTTTCCTTACCTGCATAAGCATTCAAAGGTACCTTTTCCTCCTCTATCCTTTCAAAGCCAAAAACTGGAAGAGTAGGTATGACATTGCCATTAGTGCTGCTGTATGGATCTTTGTTGGAGCTGCTTGCTCACCTGTTCTAATTCTGAGAAGTTCTACCCCATCCAACAATACAATTACCTGCTTTGCAGATCTTAAAATAAAGCAAATGACTATGGCAACTTCTATTACTTTAGTAACAGTGGCTGAATTATCAGGGTTTGTGATTCCCTTAGTTATTATTGCATATTGCACTTGGAAAATGAGACAATCTCTACAAGAATCTGAAGTGCCCTTGCAACAGAGAAATGAAAAAGAGAAAGCTTTACGGATGATCCTGATGTGTGCAGCTGTATTCTTCATATGTTTCACACCATATCATATAAACTTTCCTTTATTTATGATGGTGAAACAGAATGTTATTACAAACTGCTCCATACTCAGAAGTACACTTCATTTTCATCCAGTTTCTTTATGTCTAGCCAGCTTGAACTGTTGTCTGGATCCAATTCTTTACTACTTTATGACATCAGAGTTCCAGAAAAAATTATTGCAATGCAGTGACTTTGCCCTCCGGAGTTGCCTCATGGACAAAGAGAGTGACTCATCTTTCCAGGACCACAGCGATGATTTTGAAACACAGAAACACTTCACACATTTTAAATGTTGGTCTGTTCGAAGGTTCTGGCCAAATAAATACATGGAAGCTCCTCCAACTGAGCCAGAGAGACTTTCATTACAGTATCCCTTTTGAAGCTCAAGGCACTTTGCTCGACACAGATGCACTCCATGGAGATCGCATTAAGGCCAGACATATGTACTGAATAACATCTCTGACTTAAAACATTCAACACAGAAAGACATTTTAACTGTGTTTTATAATATCATCTATCCCTCTCATCCCACAACCTCCTCCTCACAAAACTTCCTGGATCATCTCTTAGATCCCATAATTTATCTCAATTAAAAAGACACTTCCAAATGTACGCTCAACATCTGATCTATGTTTTAAAATACCATTGACCATAATGAGAATTCCTGCCAAAACAGCTACAACCTACTGCTTCCAAATAGGCTGTTTCCACCTGTGAGGCTTCTGTACCTACAAAAATGTACCTTATAACTATGTCTCTTGCTTTTAGGCAATGTTTGGTAGGACTTTTATCCAAGATAAATTTAGAACATCTGGGATATGTGAGAATACATTTTAAAATCATTAAATTAATGTTTTCTATTGAAAATAGTAGTATGGTTTGAGTCTTGATTAACACGATTGTTTCAATGGATTAAAAAAAAGAAGAAATAGAATAAATACTGATCAGATAAAACATTTGACATTCTTGAAAATTCTATCAATATTCTTGGCTGTTGGGAGGGTTTCCATTTTTGCTTGAATTAATAGCAAATTTACATGCTTCCAAATGACAAATTATTTAGGAATAAGAGTGAATTAAATGTCATCTTAAATATTCAGTCCAGAAATTCTAAGCTGCAGAAGCTCTGGAAAATTATAGACACTAGCCTGTGCTTGTTCAGCAGAGAAGACAGTTTATTAAAAATGTTTCCAAGTAACTTGACTTTTCATAAGGATTCACCTTAAAATAAACAAGCCTTGTCTAGACTAGGACACAACAAGTTGCTGGATTTTTTTTATCCTCTACTAAGTTAGCTCACTTGAGCTAGTTAAGACAATTTAAAGTTAATGTCACTGTAGTCACAGCTCAATTTTGGCAAGCCATGTCTTAGGCTATGCTTTCCCATCAAGATAGCTCTATCAAAGTAAAGGTCCTAGTGAAGGTCATTTTTATCTTCGTGTAGCTAGTTGAGGTTAACCCCAGGTGGAGAAGGTAAAGTATTGAACCTGAGGTTAAAACGAAACCAAACCACACCTGTGCATTATCTCTGCTAGGATTTCATATCAAGATTGCAAACTCAAGTCAGTTTCCTCCATGTAAAAACATATTCATCTTTTAGAGTGCGTCTACACAGCCGGGCTAAAGGTGAATTAAGTTACACAACTTGAGCGATGTCAATTGCATAGCTTAAATCAAAATAGCTTATTTCGGCTTTTGGCACTGTCTACACAGCAGGAAGTCTGAGAAAGAGCACTCTTCCTCCAACTTCCCTTACTCCTCATACAATGAGGGTTACAGGAGTCAGAGTAAGAAGTTCTCCAGCTCAACATTATGTCCAAATAACTGCTTTTAGTGCTGACACGGATTATGTTATTTCAGAAAAATATTAGTTATTTCTAAATAATGCTGCTGTGTAGATGTACCCTTAATGATGACGATATCCCCTTAAAGTCCTGCTCAGTCTATAATTTGACATGCGAAAATCAAGCTAAAGATTTCTACATGGGTTAAGTGAGGTTTTCTTTGGAATTGAATTAGCTCAACTGAGTTCAATCCATTGAAAAAAGCACCTTTTTTCATAGCCTGGACAAGACCTTGGATACCCCATCACCTCTTCTGTTCAGAATTGTAGCCATGGAGGCCCATAGGACTTCTGGGGACTTGTAGATGCTGAGAGGGGTATTTACTGGATGAACATTAAAAGAACAAATTGTGATTGTGTGTGCAAAGGAAGAAGGACCAAAAAGCCTTCTCCATAACTTGTTTATCTTTATACAATGTACAGTTCCAAGGGAGAGTTCTACTAACCAGCACTACCAACATGTGCGATTTTATTGCTAGTCTAACAATATTTGGTGTTCTGTGTAATGCTTTAGCTCCTGGAGTCATGCTAAAAAAGCTGAAAGTCTCTTGTAAATAAATGTCTAGCTCTTATGTTTTCAGAGAAAGCTTAAAAATGTGACTTGTGTACCCTAAAAACTCAGAAACTAGGAGGCACACAAAATGTGTAATTTAAAAAATAGCATGGGTTTTAAACCCATCTCATGATTTTGGGGCCTAACTGATGATTTTTTGAATGCTTGTATTTTGTACTACTGAGCATTTCTCCCAACTAGCAAACAGAAACACAATGAGAGTGTATCTATAGCGAGGGGAGATGGCCCTGAGTGAGGGGGCAGAACAAGCTTATATCTGTTTAAAGAGTGGTGTGAATCCGATTGCATTGGCCAGCCCTACAGTATAGAGAAGCAGAATCCAGCACAGAAGCTAGATCCTGGTTCTATATTTGATGGTGATGATGCTGTGAATTGCTCAATACCTCCTGTATGGGGCAGGGTCTCCTCACCACCATGGCTGGCGGATATAAGATGCAAGGGGAGTCTTAGTGCTCAACCGCTTGTGTCGTCTTGTCCCTATTCTGATGGTTCCTGAAGGTTCCCACTGCAGGCTGTCGCAGATTGCAGACTGATGACTCTTCACCGGAAGTGGATCTCTTAACTAAAAAGTGAAAAGCCTTCCAGCTTGCCAGACCGAGCTTAACGTTGAACCTGTGAAAGAGCCGTTAAGTGGTAATGAAACCATTTAACAGACATGTGCTGACCCTGAATTTACTGATAAACACAGCTTTGTATTAATATGTCTACAGGACCTTATTTTAAGATTTGCTTTAAATATTTCATTAGTTTATGGCTGAAGGTTATAAAATCACATCTCTAAAAATCCATACTAGATATTTAGATGCACAGTCTGAGTATTCAGCTTTAGCTTTAAATGCTTGGCTCTTCAGTCATATAGCTTTTGAAATAAATTCTTCAAAAGACCACTCATCTAAAATACACATTTTAATTCAAATTACTACAGTAAAAAAAACTTACTTCCAAAGTCTTCTGATCCTTGCTATCCATCCCTACTCTTCATTCACCCCCTGTTGAAGAGAGCCCTGGGGGACAACATTGCTTTTCTTCCTGATAGCTGGACAAATGAGTTTTTCTTTTACTTCTGACTATTTGATTAAATAGTTTTAAGAGAACCCTCTACCAAAATCAATACCTTACTAAGAAATAAAATCCTTTATATACCTAAAGTCTTTGGAAACATATTTAACATAAATATAAAGTGAAATTTAATAAACATGTCTTGCCATGAAAATCACACAAAATAAATTAGTGTTCCCTTGTTCTAAAAGCAATGAACTTTGTTATGAACATACTAACCCGCTCTGTCTGATATCTATATCTATATCTATGTCTATATCTGAGGGTATGTCTAAACTACATGGCTCCGTTGCCTCATCCTACGAGGCATAATGGGGAGGTCAATAAAGGGCTTTCATGTCGGCGCGGGAGGTCCAGACTAGCGCGCTGAGCCAACAAACAGCTGATCAGCTGTTTGTCAGCTCAGCATGGCAGCCATTTAAATGTAAATGAAGCCGTGATTATTTAAATCGCGGCTTCATTTCCCTTTGCCAATCAGCCTAATCTACATGGTTCCATCGATGGAGCCATGTAGTTTAGACACACCCTTAGGCTGTGTCTACACTGGCCACATAAAACGGAAAAGGGATACAAAGGAGGTAAGTCAGAATAGGGAAATCCGCGGGGGATTTAAATATCCCCCGCGGATTTAAATAAACATGTCCGCCGCTTTTTTTCCGGCTTGGAGAAAAGCCGGAAAAAAGCGTCTAGACTGGCCCGATCCTCCGGAATAAAGCCCTTTTCCGGAGGATCTCTTATTCCTACTTCAAAGCTGCGGACATGTTTATTTAAATCCGCGGGGGATATTTAAATCCCCCGCGGATTTCCCTGTTCTGACTTACCTCCTTTGCATCCCTTTTCCGTTTTATGTGGCCAGTGTAGACACAGCCTTAGAGTGTATCTGTCTCTGTGTCTGTCTGCGAGTCCATTTGTTCAAGAACTCCTCCTAAATGGTAAGCGGTAGGGTCACCAAATTTGGTATGCAGTTTCCTCTTCTACTAACATAAAGCAAGGTTGGTTGTACCACAACAACTGGAAGCCCTTTCCTTAACATGCAAAGGGAGGGGCTGCTGTTTGGAGGGGCACGAGATGACAGCAGCCACTGGGGGCAGCCAGCCCACAGGGGAGAACTATCCTGCACAGTGTCCACTTGGGGCAGCCGTACCACCAAGGGCTGGGGTTCTGCCACCTTGCCTTCCAACACACCTCGTAAGTAGCTTCCCTGCCCCAAACTGTTCCCCCCCCCCTTCCAGCACATGGCCAGAATGCTGGAGGGAACTGGCTGGGAAGCTGGGAGGAAAAAAATGCCCCTGGCAGCTGGAGGTGAGGGGGAAGCAGGTCGGGAGTAAAAAGCATCCCTGGCAACAGCGGGGTCTGGGGGAAGAGAAAAGGCCCAGGCCTGATGGAACACCTGCCCCAAGGTCCCCTTCACCCTGAACCTTCACTCTCGCACTCTCCAGCCTCCTGCACTCCACCCACCATATCTCCGAAGCCCTGCCCTGCGTCCTGCATTTCCCACACCGCCAGCCTCTGCCCTGAAGGACCTGGGCAATGCTGGGTAAAACTGTTAGTTTAAAATAATGTCTTTGTTTCAGAGAGCTTAAATATGCAGTAATCTGGAATAATTACTTTATGTAGGCTTAAGACTACCTTTAAAATATAAATCAGCTTAATAATACTGATGAAGAAAATGTAAAACATGGAAGGCTGCATCATGTATTCTGTAATAGTTAATGTTGTATTCAACAGGACAACTGACTTGCCCTTACTACAAAGTTTTTGCAAATAAATCTCTGACAAATGTAAAAAAACCTTTGACTGACATTTTTTATTCCCAAATTTAGTGTTTTTATTTAGGAATGTAAACAACTAGTCAAGTAGTCACCTACCTGCTAAGCCTATCCTTATCGGATAGTCGAGTGACTACACAACTACTCCCCTCCCCTCCCTCACCGCTGCCCCTGTACCAGAACCAGCAAGTCAGGGAGAGGAAAGCAGGAGGCAGTGCCTCCACAGTGTGGGGTGGGAGCGCCGGGGAAGGACTGCTCAGTCCCAGCTTGGTCTGCCCCCAGGAGCTAACCCCATTGCGGCTCTGCACTTTAAATGTAGTAAGAGCCAGGCTTTTACTACATTTAAAGTGCAGAGCTGCAGCGGTTCCAGAGCCATGTGAGCCAGCTCTGCTCAGTCCCGGGTCCTCGGAGCTAACCCCACTGCAGCTCTGCACATTAAAGGTACGTCTAAACTACATGGCTCCGTCGACGGAGCCATGTAGATTTGTTGTTTTGGCAAAGGCAAATGAAGCCGCGATTTAAATGATCACGGCTTCATTTACATTTACATGGCTGCCGCGCTGAGCCGACAAACAGCTGATCAGCTGTTTGTCGGCTCAGCGCGGCAGCCATGTAAATGTAA